TTAGACATAACAAGACTCTCAACAAGTTTTTTCCGCGTTTTGAAATTAAGAATGTGCCGGTTTGAATATAATAATTTTAACGATATATATGTGGATTTAAGGGTGGCATTCACGTGCTGATTAAAACGGAGGTCTTTATCCAAAATAACGCCCAGGTTTTTTGCTTCGTTAACTAAGGGTATGACAGTATGATTCACAGACAGTTGGATTAGATCAACAACACTAACTGGAAAATTATGTGGACTAAAGACAATAGCATTCGATTTACTAGGGTTTATTTTCAGTGAGTGCCGTTTGCAGAAATTATCAATATTAGCTAAGTCGACATTAAGTTTATAAGAAATTTCATTGAAGTTGCTAGAGTCGAAATTAAATGTTAACTGTGTATCGTCTGCATAAGTTTGGATTGCGCAATGCTCAACACTGTTATGCAAGTCAAACGTAAAAACCAAATAAAGTAGAGGTCCCAAGATCGAGCCCTGTGGAACTCCAGAAGGAACATACTTGGGCACAGATACACCTTTACTGGTTTTCACCTTTTGCGTTCGATTAGACAAGTAAGAGTCAAAGAACATAAGAGCAGTATTACCTAAACCAAGGTACTTCAACTTACTCAAAAGTATACGGTGGTTCACAGAATCAAACGCTTTAGATAAATCAAGCATAACCAATATTGTACCAATGCGATCATCCAAATTTCTGATTATGTTATCAATTATATATAACAAAGCAGTTGTAGTACTATGATTCTTGCGGAATCCAGACTGATGTATCGGAAGCATATGATTAAGTTCAAGGTACTCAATAAGCTGTAGATAGACGATCTTTTCTAATATCTTAGAAAGAAAACATAAAATGCTGATCGGTCTAAGATCATGGTATTCAGCTGGGTTTGTGATTTTAGCAATAGGTGTGATGACAGCTTCTTTCCAGCTTGTTGGGAAAAAGCCCTTCTCTAAACACATATTTACTATGTGAGTTATGTGGTCAAGTGTTTCAGGCAAACAAAGTCGTATCATTATTAAATTCAATCCATCACTCCCAGTGGCAGTCGATTTAATCGATAAAATGATGTCAAGAACGATTTCTTGTGTTACTGTATGAAGAGCGAAAGGAGTCAAATTATTATCAAAACGGTTGTTTAAGTAAAAATTGGCTGTATTATTAACTACATTATTGGAGTGATCGTCGAATGTAAAATTTGAGAGGAAATGATTATTAGTTTCCTCTGGATCAGATAAACTATCAGGAATCTCAATTCGTTTCTGCTGACAGATATTCATACTTCTCAAATTTTTCCACAGCTTTCCCGAGTTCGAAATATCCAGCTGGGCTAAATATGCCTTCTTTTCTCTGCGAATCGAGGCCAGTGCAAAATTTCTACGGTCCTTATACGTCCGCCAATTTTGATCTGTTTTATTTTCCTGATATGCCCGAAACGCATTGTCTCGCAAACGAAGTATACGCGTTAGATTTGATGTCAACCAAGGAGCAGCAGCTTTGGTAATGCGTGCAGACCTGATTGGGGCAAGTTCATTATATAAGTGAATCAAACGCTCAGTGAAAATTGAAACTTTCGTATCAATGTCTTGTACATAGAAAATATCATCCAAATGCAAAGTTGTTAATCGTTCTTTAAGCAGCTCAATATTCACATTTTTTAGATCTCTATATGTCAAAAACTTTGCTTCTGGTCTAGGAATAGTCACGAGAAGTTCACAATATACCAACCTATGATCTGAAATGATATCAGCATTTAGCGTTCCAGATTTGTTTAACATTACCCCAGCATTGATGAATATAGGATCTATCAATGTAGAACTGAACTGCGTAATTCTAGTTGGCTCATTGATAACTTGAGTAAAGTTATAGGAATCAAAACAATTACTAAGAATATTGTTATGATTAAGTAAATCAACATTCATGTCGCCAAGAAACACTATATTTTCATACTGTGGAGTGAAAAATGAGAGTATGTTGTCAAGAACTTGGATGAATTGATTCATGGAGCAATGAGGCGGACGATATACAACAATGACTAAAAAGTTGCGGTTATTTGCGACCAATTTGCAGCTCATAATTTCAAGTGAGGTATTAACAGCAAAATCTAGTTCTAGCAGTTGACATGTGAGATTTACTTTTACGTATAACCCGACACCACCTCCCCTGTCAGAACGATCTTTCCTAAAAAATGTATATCCATTAAGCAATACATCGCGATCAGGAATATTGCAATTCAACCAGGTTTCTGTTACTCCGACTAAATCAAACTGATCATTGATCAGATGAACAAAATTATTAAAATCTGCTGTTAACGAGCGAACATTAAGATGACATAATTTTAGGTTATTTGTTTCATTCATAACTAATTTTTTCTTGCATACTTTCAACGTAACGCCGATACACAGTACAACCGTTAAAATTGGAAGAATGATCAGTAGGTATACTCTTTTTGTTGGATCGATTATAGTTTAGGCAATTAATGCATTGTAACACATCGGATTTACATTCTTTCAATTTATGATTTCTTGTGCATCGAGGGCAAACCAGCTCCGCATTGCAAGAATTCTCTATATGACCGAAGGCACAACATTTCATACACTTCACAAAATGTATATGGTCCTGAACTGTAGATCTCTTCCATCCAATGAAAATATATCCCTTCTCCAAAATCGCTCGCCTGACAGGTGAAGTAACTTCAATAACTATATTCGTACTATTAAAGTGCTTCAGTTTAGTCACAAATTTAAAGTTGGCCCTTTCAAAGCTGCTTAAATCATTCAACGCCATAATACTAGATATAATGTCGTCAGGAGTGTTTAATCCCTCTAGGTTAACATTTTTTATCAAAAGTCGCGGATTCAGCTTTTTAGCTTCGCTTATGACAAATCTTCTTCCCAATTTTGTATCCAAGTTATTTTTAAGAGTATTGAGAGATTCATCATCTTTGCAGTGTATAGCAATACCATTCTTTATTTTCCGAGTGTTGTTAATACAGACATTTAAGCTAGATGGATTAACAGATGCCGCAATCTCACGCATGATATTGGAGGAGTCAATGTTATTAGCAGACTCAGGAGATGATTTGACAATAAGAACTGGTGCCTTGTCTTTCACAGTCCTTTTTAACGCATCGCTAGATGTACTCTTATTAGCACTAGCCTGAAGAACTACGTTGCTGCTCTGTTGGGAAGTAACTGAAGCATAAGTCTTATCAAATGATTTCAGCATAGCCTTTTGCAAATTATTTGAGTATTCAAGTTCATTTGCAAGCTTTTTTGTTAGCGTCAGCTCTCTGTTGAGACATTCGACTTCCTTTTCCAGGATAGCAATACGCGTTTTGGTCTCACTACATTTAGCCGGGACGGATTTTTTACATTCATCACAAAACCATAGCAGGTTATCGTTATCGGCAATAATTTTTAACCAGTTTTCTTTAATTGAAGCACATGAAATATGGAATTTTAGGCAGCACAGATCGCATTTGATGACCTTAGTATTAACAATGAAATTGTCATTGCATACACTACAGACGTCCACATCTGGCGCCATAGCTGATGTATGGACCGGATTCTACTGGACTATATGAAGAGATTAAGAAGCGAATAGTTTGAATATCTAGGATGGCATAAGAAATGTTGCCTGAGTGATAAGCAAAAATAGACTTAAACTACCCGGTATTAAGGAAAATATCAAATACAACTGTAAGCATCACTGCAATTCACAAACCCTTTGGTCGAGGAAGTCACTGTCCATGAACACTGGCTAAGGAACGTTTTCACAAAATTTTCACACTTTAATTAACCTAATAAAGATACATAAACAGCGTCCCGCTAATCGGTCCACTGTACGTATTCCGAGCAGTAGAATACGAATGATATGTTTCTGATACATTATGTTTGATTCACTGATATTTTCTAAAGGTAATATTCGAAGTTCATCATAGAAATTCTCACAGTTCTGAATTATAAAAGCAAGAATTCCATATGTTCAACAACGATACATTTTTGTAAGTATATATCTAGTCGCTACTGAGAATTTCATCGAATATCTTTTCATGTTTGCACGATATGTGTATTTATCTAAGCTGGCTTCGTTTACATTACTGAAAAAAACTGCTTGTAATTATGTGTTAAAGATAGCAAACAATAATTATCTAGAAACATGACATAAGTGTTAGATATGTACAGTCAGACAAAATTGATCGATCAAACGAACTTACCTGAAGTGAAGTTCGATCGTAATTATACGAGGGTCCAGTCCGAAGACATCACTTTGTTTATTCACTATGTAGTCCGCCCCTGGAGTACGATCCGCGCACCAAGTTGAAAGACGAGAATCCCCACCTCCTCGCCGCGCCCTGGCCACTCGCGTTGAATCATTTGTTTAAAGAAATGGTACTTGCTCGCAACTTGGGAGGGTTGCATATAGGGTGGGGGTGATGTCTTCGGACTGGACCCTCGTATAATTACGATCGAACTTCACTTCAGGTAAGTTCGTTTGATCGATCAATTATACTTTGGGTCCAGTCCGAAGACATCACTTTGTTTATTCACTATGTAGATGTTTAAAGATGAGATAGAGTTGCGAGCGAGTTGATGATATAAAAAATACAAGTATACAAACACAAAAAGGCAAAAACATATATTCTGCATTCTCATAAACAAAAGCAAAAAACAAGGGGTCAATTTTTAACATTTACCCTAATAGTAATATTTTTTCAAAAAACAACTAGAGTACCTAAAGTACGTCACAAACTCTTAAACTGTTCTAACTAATCAGGCATTTATGTCCAAAATGGCATTTGCAAACTCATTGTTGGTTTGTAAAGGACGATTATAAAACTTTGCAAATGTGGAATGTTGCGTCCAACCAACTGTTTTACATATACTATCTACGGAAACGCCTTTTCTTAACGCCGTTGAGGTAGCCGCATGCCTGACTGAATGAGGCGTAAAAAGTGTTGTGTTGACACCCGCCGATGCAAGAGTCTGTTTTACCCATCTGCTTAAAGTGTCTTTGGACGCCCTGGTATGTGGTTTTTTATATGTCACGAATAGAAAATCGTTGTCGGGTTCTCTCAAGCTAGCTGTTCTGTCAATATATTCCTTCAGGATGGTGGCTACGCACAGGAAAGGGTTTTGTTGAAAAACCGGTATATGCAAGGTTGGTTGAGGTTTCCCACTTCGACTGGTTTTAATTGGGTCTGAAATATTAATGGTAGTTTCGCTGGGACCATGGGAGGTATGTGAAAGACGAATAAGAGAAATTGTCTGGAGTCTTTCTCCTGTTGTTAGAGCTAATAACGTTGTCAATTTTTGTGACAGACTTTGGAGGCTAAGTGGAGATGGTAACTTTTCTAGATAACTTAGGAGAGGTATAGGATCCCAGGTGGCCGAATATTTTGGTCGAGAAGGCCGTAAACGATGAATGCCTTTTTTGAAGCGTCTAATTATAGGATTGGATGCTAAATCAGTTGAGCAAATTAGTGAAAGAGCAGATGTATGAGAATTAAAAGTGCCAGACTTGAGGTTTTTCTTCTTTGTCAACTCTTGCAAGAATGACACCACGTCTTTGATTGTGGGTTTAAAGATCGAAATGTCATTACTAAAGCAAAATTCCCACCACAATTTGTAGGAGCTGTTATATTGCTGCAATGTGGATCTGGAGACTGAGGCGATGATTGTAGAAATAGCAGATTCCGGCACCTCTCTACTCAAAAACGCTTGCCTGATAACTTCGCTGCTACCAGGGTAAGGGTTTTCGACAGCGGATGTGACCTGGAAACCGCACAAGATAGTAAATCAGGTGAAGGGGGAAAATGAGTTTCTTGGTCGATCAATAACTGACGGAAAGGTGGGTACCAAGGTTGTGAAGGCCACCAAGGAACCACCAAAATTCCGACAGCCTTATCCTGAATTATTTTTTGTAAAACTCGGAGAATTAAGGTAAAAGGGGGGAATGCATAAAAATAAAAACTGTTCCAGCGAATTGTAAACGCATCGATATATGTAGATCCTGGATCTCTATGCCAGGAAGCGTATACCTCGCATTTCGCATTGGTATGAGAGGCAAAAAGATCGATCTCTGGTTTTCCGAAGATGTCGGTTAAATGGTCGAAGGCAGTTTGAGATAATGACCATTCCGTTTCAAAATTCAAGCTCCTGGACTCATCGTCTGCTATAGCGTTATCTTTAGATGGGATGTATGATGCAAAAAGCCAGAGATTTCTTTCCTCACACCATTGCCAAATTTGTTTAGCCAGAGAACATAGCTCTGGAAACCGAACACTCCCCATTCTGTTAATGTAAGAAACGGCTGTTGTATTGTCGCATCGAATTAGAATATTGCAATTTTTTAAAAGTTTTGCATAACACTGGATGCCGTAAAATATAGCCCATAATTCCAAATTATTTATATGCAATAGTTTTTGGGAGTCGGACCAGAAACCGTGGGTTCTATCCTGGCCAGAGCAAGCCCCCCATCCTGTTAGCGATGCGTCGGTAAAGATGGTGATATGAAAGGAATCATACCTTATGTCATTGAAAGCTGTTGAAATGTGATCTTTCCACCATGAAATATCGCTCTTTATGTTTTCAGGAATAGCCATACTTGCGTTATAATTTCCATTGTTTTTCTCTAAAGCTAAGAATTTTTCCCTTTCTAGAGATTTGCAATAAAGAAACCCGTATTTCACACCAGGACAAGCCGACACCAAGGTGCCAATGAACCTTGCCCAGTCGCGAATTCTACATCTCGATTGGTTCAAATAATATGAGGCTAACCTGAGGATGTGATTTTTCTTTTCGGCAGGAAGTTCAATTGTTAAATTAACACTATCTATCAGAAAGCCGAGGAATCTTATACGAGTAGTGGGTACCAGAATGCTTTTGCTGTTATTGATGATAAGACCCAATGAGCTTAAAAACCGAATGGTTGTGCTAACATTATTAAGGCAGGATTCATAGGAAACTCCAAAGATTAGAAAATCGTCTAAATAATTGACTGTAGAGATGCCTAAATTGCGGAGAAAAGAGACGACTGGCTTCATAAGCTTTGTGAAACATAACGGAGCTGTACATAACCCAAACGGTAGGCAAGTGAATTGATACAATTGGCCATCAAAGTAGAATTTTAGAAATTGTTGATGGTCGCTGTGGACAGGTACTAAAAAATACGCATCTCTCAAGTCGATTGTGCACATGTACACGTTTTTATGAGTCAATTTTATAGCCGTACGAAGGTCCTCCATTTTGAAATGCGGGCATTCCACATATTCATTTAACTGTTTCAGGTTTAATATAAATCTTTTTCCCCCGTTGGATTTATCTGCAAGAAAATATGGAGAGATAAATTGATCGGGCCTTGACTCAGATTTGATTATGGCCCCGGACTTCTGCAAGTCGCGTATAGCTACTCGAACTAGCGATGTTTCTGTCGAAGAAAAATTATTTGTGCCCAAAGGTTGACGTAATGGAGGTGTGCATTTAAAGGGAATCCGGTAACCTTGAATCCAGGATAAGACTATCGGATTTGAAGTTAGTTTTGACCAAGAGTTGAGGTAAAATTGTAGCCGACCAGCAAATAGAACTTGTTTTACCTTCAACGTTTTCTGGACTGCTGTTGTCTGTTCGGAGCAAACTGTTTTGAGGAATTGCCCTTGTGCTGCCTCACCTCCCTCTTGCGGTAAGACGGGCGATACCTGTTTAAAGCGCCTACATTCTTTGACGAGTTGCCTCCCCCCCCTCTTCTTTCAGGATTACTGAAAGACCGAGTCACTTGAGAGCTACTGCGTGAGGGGATAGAGGACAAACGTAGGTCCTGTCCGGCCTTCTCCAAAGATTTCAAATTTTTCGCCCGCTCACCTAAATCTGGCCCGAATAAGAACTCCCCTGGTAAGGTGTTTTCAGTCAGTTCTTTAACTGATTTGTTGAGTACTGGGCTGATCAGGTACTTTCTAGTTTTAGAGATGTCGTGAAAGAGTGCCGCCAAGATTCGCGCAGAATCTGTCAAATTCGATAAAATCTTTTCCTTGGTATCCTTGGGAATCTGGGTTTCTTCTTCCAAAATGACGTTAAAAGCTTTCCCCATGGCGGTCAGTCCGGTACCAATGTTCAATTGGTACCCGGAATGGGTGGCATCTCTCGTTAAATGAGTAGAAGAGAGAATGGCTTTCACTTCGGGGTTTATCTTCGGAGGGTGTAAAGAGGCACAGTTAGAAGGCACAATGTGTTTTTCTCTAATGATGGTGGTGTCCTCGGTGGAAAGTCCGTTGGCCAAAATGTGGGACCATCGAGAAGCTAAGGCACCGTGTAGTTGGAAGTTAGACCTATTGGCTTTTTTAGGGTCTACACCCAGGATATTTAATATGTCTTCCGATAATGGGAGACACTCACCTTCACTAAGCATCAAAACATCCTCCATATCATTTTTCTCAGTTGGTACCGTTCCCAAGTCCGGCCCTGTCAGAATCTGAGCTTCCGCCTCGCACGGAGAACGGCCAGCCGAGTCTACCTGACGCTGTACCTTATCAGATGGGCTGCCTGAGTTTTTCTCTTGACGCAAATATTCCCGTCTCTCTCTACGTCGCCTCGACACGCTCGGTGATCGACTGTGACTGTTACTACTCCTAGAACGTGACCTTGAACGCCTACGGCTGATGCGAGAGCGGGAGCGTCTAAAATGATGAGGTGAATTGGTACGAGACATGGATCTGCTGTGTCGACTCTTTCGGGATAAACTTCTCGAATTAGTGCGAGAACGATAACCACCTGACCTTGCCTCGAGCTCCTCCTGTAAAATGGCCCGAATCATGTCTCTCAAGGAGCTGGGTGAATTGGCCTCCGAAATTCCTGATTTTTCCATGGTTTCTGTTAAACAAGTATAACCATTGGTTAACGTATTCAATCTGGTTGAATACGCCAATCAATTATGTAACAGACTGCTAAGTGGTATCAAAAAGAATAGCCTTGTTGTGAACTTACCTACCTACTCACTGAGCACTATGTACCGAAAAGAGAAATCGCACGCGTTTTCTGAACTGAAGCAGGCCGGGCGACTGCACGGATCGCGCACCAAAAAGCGAATGATTCAACGCGAGTGGCCAGGGCGCGGCGAGGAGGTGGGGATTCTCGTCTTTCAACTTGGTGCGCGGATCGTACTCCAGGGGCGGACTACATAGTGAATAAACAAAGTGATGTCTTCGGACTGGACCCAAAGTATAATTATAGGCATGTTAAGTCTCATTGGCTGACCTTCGTTTTGTTTTATTGGTTTTCAATTTCCATGCGTCGCTAAAATTAACTTGCAGAGCTTCTTTTAGAGTTTGGAGAGTAACCTTTACGCCTTCACTTCGTAACTCTCTACTAACTTTCCGCTAACTTTCCCAGGCGTTCTATTCATACTTGAAGAATAGCTTAAATTATCAGTCAGGTTCCCAGGAAAAATACTGACAGTCAAAAAAGCTGTATCATCAGCTACTTAATTCGAAACAAAAATATAGATTTGATAAAGAAGTCATTGGCGTACATTTTTTCTCAACATAATTCGTGAAACTGCCCTTAAAGACGCCACTGGCATTCTTGATTATATTTTATTTAGTGCTAACTTAACGTCTTATAACACTAAGCGATACTGCCGAAATTCTTCATAATCGGCATAAGGATATTTATAAAACTTTGGCACCTCTATCTCGAAAACCTGGATTATATGAACTTTTCTACTTAAATTTGGCTCAGGAATGCACCCTTGAAGTAACGGCAGATTAAGTAACACACTACGCAGTATGGTATGTATTTTTTTAAACACGATCAAAGCGTACAAAATAGAAGGTGTGGCGTTGCTGAGGAGAACGTTGATCTGGTTGTATCTCAATTATACTACCAAATCTGCCTAAGTAATAAACAGTGACATTTCGTCAAAGTTTATCCGAATAGTTTCTCAAACTACCCAGTCATTGTTCTCTTTGTGGCCGGCGACATGAAATTATCTATATTTGCACCATTACACTTACATTATCTATCTCGTCACTCTCTATGTCATCTAATATTATTTCGAATAGGACTATCAGGGTGGATTTCACAATTTAACAGACCATTATTCTGCACCAATAGGGTACGAGCACCAAACAGTCCGTTAAATATACCCAATCAGCCTCACCGTCAAATTTTTGGCAGCAAATAGCATCAAAGTATTCAAAACAAAACA